CTCATTTTAAGTAAATTTCAATACCAGTATAGAATTTTAAAAAGCAGTTCCTACTAATTGAATATAGCTCATATTACAATACATCAAATCATGTAAACGAAATCAAATAATCATAAAAAAAGTTTTTAGAAAAAAAGTGAAAATTATAATTTAGATATATTTACTAATGTAACAGCATACTTAAAGAGAATAGCGATATAAATTTTTTTCTAATATTTTAAAATTTTTTTAATTTTTTAAAAATCCAATATGTCTTAACTCTTAGTACACTATTTATGCAGTAGAGTTAGGTATTAGCTTATAAGCAAAATATTTAAAATGATCATAAAGTTATAAACCGAAATAAGCTAAAATTACAAAACATAGAACCAAAAAGTTTACTTCTATTTCTCCTCAAGATTTGTGAACAAATATTTTTGAATTATACGTATCAAATTCTATATCAATACTAACCTTTTGGGGATCACCACTTTAGATTTAAAAGGCAGCACTCTAAATATATACAGAGTATTATTTAACATATCTATGGGTAATGAGGAAGAAAACTTTACTATAGCAACCTAAATGTTGCTAAAACCTTTGATAGTGTGTCGTATAAAAGAATTTTTTTAATTTATTTTTTTATATATTGTTTGGCGTCTTTACAAAGAAGTCGAAAAATTTTCGTGTGGCGATTTTTCCTTATGACCTCTATGGTCTGTCGGGGGAAGAGGAAAAAGTCACACGGGTCATATCTGGAGAGTACGGTGCTTGGTTGATGATATTGGTGGAGTTTTTGGCCAAAAACTGCGACACAACCAACGCTGTGTGAGCCGGTGCTTTATCGTGGTGTGAAATTCATGAGTTTTCCTTCCATAAATCTGGCCTCTTTTTGCGAATGGCCTCACGCAAACGATGCACAATGGCAAAATAATACTCCTTATTGACCGTTTGACCATTTGACCGTCCGGAAGGAATTCATAGTGCACCACATCACGAATATTGAAGAAAACAGTCAGCATAACCTTGATTTTGGACCGACTTTGGCGTTCTCTTTTCGGTTTCGGTACCTCTTTTCGGTTTCGGTTGACTATAGTACTCTATATTTGAAATATAGAGTGCTATAGTTAACACAGTAAGGTACCTATCAAACAAAAGTTTACATAGAGACTGATAGATACAATTACGGAAGTAATATACAAATGTAGTATAGCAGTATATCATGCGATCCACATTATTTTTCCCACATTATCTGTGTGATCAACAAATTACCAGATAGGAAAACAGCAATATAAAGGGGATAGAAATATATTCTATGAACCGAGTTGATGAATAGATATGTGTACATTATTATAAAATCCATTTTCTATATAATATTTTTTAATTGAATGTGATAATAATTATTATATTATATAGGTTTGTATATATATTTTGTTAAAATGTAAATTTGATAGATGGTAAATAAAATATCTATTAAGTAAAGGAAGAAAAGAGTACGAGTTAAAATAACAGTATGTTATATAATTTAAATACACTTATTGTCGTATAACTTTTCAGGAGAGCATAAAAGATTTGAAATAAAAATTTTATATATCTTAAATAATTTAATTTTAAAATTCTAATAATTAGTATTTAACTAACTATAAGGCAATAAATTAATGCGGCCAAGGAATTTCTAGTCCATTACATTTAAAATTTAATTCTTTTTTTTTTAAACAAAATTGTTTATAATTAAAAACTCTTATACTAATAAAAAGTGTATAAAACTGTAACTACAGATAAATTATAGTCACCTCCGCACTCTTATATTCAACCTAATGCCAGTGAAGTAGTTCAACAGAAAACACTAAAGTGATGGTTGGTTTAGTGTTCTTGGTACCAGAGAACAAAACAATAAGATAACGCACATTTTTAAATATAAAATAAATAAATTTTTATTTACATATAAGAGAATTTTGGTGGCAATTTACTGCTATCTGTTCATGTTTTTTGGTAACACTAAGTTGCTGATAACTAAGAAATGTGGCCCAACTTTATTTCCACTACAATACAAT